GGACAGCCGCCCCACGGCGTGGCTCGACATCGGGAAAACTAGTTTTGTGTCTCTTCATTTAACCAAGCTACAGATACTTGTGCAAACAGACTCAGTAGAGTAATAGGTGGAGAGATTCTTTGACTTGACAACGCTGTCAGTGTCAGTACATGCTGACCAAAGCTGGCGAGAAGGGGCATCAGCAGGGTTACTAGGAGGCCGTGGGTATTGAGACTAGATGAGAAGACTATAATGTACAATACCCTACAAGCAGCCACGCCAGCGGTTCAATATTAGACTCTTTGCACTGCCTACGGGCAATATGTTTAATACATGGAGAATCAGTGAAGAGAATTGTACTGATAGTTACTCATATACTGATCTTTTAGTTGCACCAAATTAGCGATGAAAGTAGGACATGCAGCTATAGCAAAGGTTTCATACAAATGAATGAGTTATTTTGAGACTGGTGGTCTGACTGAGGACCGTTGAGGTATTGGTCTTGTGGAAAATCAAGTCCCAGTTGACGGAGTGCACACACTACGATAATTCACGCATGAGATTCGCGTGAGGTGCCGGGGACACCAAAGTCATAGGTAGTTGTGATACCGCATTGAATGCGACGCATTCTAAGATTATGATCACCCGTCGCATATGCGGACAACACAATTATTAAACACCGAGTGAGAAGCGAGTGTGCCCGGGTAGATTGGTAAAAACTGCACAGGGTCGAGTTGACCACATTGACGCCAACACATGTTGGTGACAATACGAAAATTTTGAGGAAATCTTGGAAATTCTTGCTGCTTTCTGAACACTGCTAACTCAATTCGAATGTAGAAGTCTATAATTAGTGTGGAAGATTCTGAGCTCACCTGAATAGAGCGGGCTTATAATCTTCCAACACTGGTGCTCCGAAAAAGAGTGGGATTTAAAATACCACCAATATCAAGAGTATTGTCGTTCGATAAAGCACGTTGTGCCATTCTTCAGTCTGCAGGCTCGTTACGGAATCTCGCGGGATTGCCATTAAGAGACGACTGCCTCGTCTCCTTCGAGGCGGTGCACAATGCTCAAGGTTCGGAAGGGGCATCGGCTTCTACCGCTGAAAGCCACTAATCAGCTCTGAGAAGAGATCGGGGAAGAGAGAACAAGCACTTTTATACCTAACTCGTCAAAGGCTAAGCCTGAGATATCACGTTTTTTTGTCAGAAGCGGGTGTTTTTTGGAAACAGTCAATTATCACGATAACATGATACACCCAGCCATGCAAAACAACAAATCGTCTTTTTTTGGAAACAGTCAATTATCACGATAACATGATACACCCAGCCATGCAAAACAACAAATCGTCATAATCTGTCTTATTCTGCGAGCCGGGGCAAGTGCTGAGCGGTCAGACTTCATCAGCTGGCCGTCGCTCTACTCGCTTGGGTCGGCCTTCGGCAGGCTGACCGCTGGGCGTTTTACGGCTCACCGAGCCAACTCGAGGTCGAGGGTCAGCGCTAGCGGTCACTGCTTCTGTGCTGCCGCCCTGGCTTCAAGCTTCGGTTCTCCGGGCCATCCACTCCTTGGGTACTTCTTTCCAGGCTTGACTCTCTGCTAGACTCCTTTGGTGGGGCGGCACGGTGGTATGATCACCACTAGTTAACGTCATGAGGAGACAACCCAGGTGCCGGGGGATCCTAGTATTGGATTCCCACCACTCCTGCGCCAGTCGACATCCCGGAGGGTGCGCGAGGAGGGCCCGATCCATTTGAGAGATCTGGGCCGGCATGCATCGGGGTGCAGCACCCCGGGTGCTCAGTCCCTGGGGCCCCTCCCAACTCTAAAGATGGCGAGGGGTGGAGCTAAGCTCTCTTTTCATTGGTTGGTGGCTCTTGGGACGTGGGTGCATTGGTCGCAACCCGAGCCGTGCACTCAAGGCACTTGGCGATCAGCCTCCTGTGTGGGCAAGACATCAGGGGCGTGCCAGCCGCGACATTAGAGATCGCGTCCTCATGACGTTTCGGATCCGCGGGGGGTGTCCAACCAACCACCTGCCCCCATCGCCTGGCTCAGAGAGACATCCCGGAGGGTATGCCAAGCCCATCCCGTGTGGAGCTTGCCACGCCACCGGCAGGGTCCGGCCTTAAGGGAGTCAGCATCGAGTCAGAGGCCCAGAAAGAGAGTCACCGCAGAGCTTCAAGCGACGGAGGAGCCTAACTATCCACACACGCGAAACAGCCTTCCACAGATTACACTGCTGCTGCCCCTTTCCTGAGGTGCCACAGCGTCGCGCTGCCTCCGACTATCGCCGCGCGTCGTAGGCCTTGGTCGCTGGGAGTGGTAGTTGTAGTGGTTATGGTAGTGGCTGAGCCGCTAGGCAGGCACCAGCGAGGCGCTGATGCAAGTCCGCACTAAGGGGTCCTCTTATGGCTGAGAGGAGTTCTCCGCTTCTCGGAGATTCTTCAGCCACTCGAAGATCATCTTTGCCATCTTCAAAAGTGGCGCTCGATACCGTCGATCGAGGACTAATTTGTAGTCGTACTTGGGCATCACCTGGAGCAGCCTGGAGTCTCGTCTCGCGCCATCCAGCAGAGGACAGTCTCTGAGGATGTGCTTGACGTCTCCATCTGCATGCCCACATGGGCAGCTCGGGTCTGTCCTTAACCCCATCGTGTGGCGATGGTGGGGTGTGGGGGCGTGTCCTAAAATTAAGGCAGAGAGCTCGGGTGATGACTTACCAGCCTTCAAGAATCTTCTGGCGTGGGAAAATCCCCAAAGGAAGTCCCGTACGCTGGTGCCCAGAGTGGCTCGCTTCTCAAGCCACCAGGACCTTGTGTCCTTCTCCATCTGGGTCTTGAGCATATGCTTCACATAGGAAGGAGGAACCATCGTAGCAGCGCCCCGGTCCAGGGGGAAGAGCTGCTTCCGGCCGGTGTTGGCCAGCTGGTCCGCTGCTTCGTTCCATTGTACTCCTTCATGGCCCGGGCACCAGTTCAGCTGCACCTTGACGTGTAGGCTGAGATGGGCGATGTCACGAGCGATGGCCGATCTCTCGGTGGCTTCTCGGCCTCGGATCGTGCGGATGGAGGCCTGAGAGTCTGTGAAGAGAAGCCATTCTATACCTCTGTGAGCCGAGTGGCTCAGCCATCGCAGCCTGCGATGGCTGCGATTCGCAGGGCTCTGCGGATGGCTTCCAATTCGCATTGGTGAATGGTGGCGAACCGCTCAAGCTTAAAGGCTCGGCGCTCCACCACTTCTCCTCCTTTGACAGCCAGGAAGGCCCCGCCGGCACTATCGCCGAACTTGGAGCCATCCGTGTAGATGGCGGGGCCTCGGTAGGCCGATGCCAGTTCGACCGCTTCTTCTCTGGGGCGGATGGAGGCGGGAAGGGAGGGGAGCCACGGTGGGAGAGGATGGGTCTCTCGCCGGTCCACTCGCCATGACGATTCCGCCGCTCCAGGCCCAAGGGCCGCTGCTAGGTCGCTAGGAGTACCTGTGGTGGCGCGGCATCTTCCTGCCAGCATTCTCAATTGGATGCTAGCCGGGGTGACGCCGGCCATCATCATCGCCGCGGCGTGGGAGGCCGAGCGAGGGGCCCGAATGGCTATCCTCGCTGCCAGGCCGGACACGCTATCGACGGCCTTGGCCAGATTCGGGTTCTCCAGTGCCCCCGCCCAGACGCTGACCGCGTGCCCAAGGAAGGGCAGCACGGCCAGGTGGTAGGTCTTCAGTATCCGCTTGGTGTCGAGCCCAGCCCGTTCCCAACCCAGGGCGTGTAATCGCCCTAGACGGGAGCGAGCTTGGGCCGTCTTTCGCTTGATGTGCTCCCTGAAGAGCAGTCGCTGGTCCACTGCCAGGCCTAGGATGGTGACGACCTTGGCCCGGCCGATGGCCTTACCGTCGATCATCAGCGCTGATACCTGAAGCTTCCTA